GGACACTCTACCCCTATTAATGAATGCAGATAAAGGTTGCCTTCACTTTTTTGGCTGAAATGTCACACTGTTGAGTCACATTGAGCTTGCAGTCCACTAAAACCCTCAGATCTTTCTCACCCAAACTGCCTAACCATGGCTTACCCATACTGAACATGTGAAACTGGCTTATTGAATCCAAGTTAGAAGGATGTTATATTTACCTCTATTAAGCCTCCTTTTCTGCCACAGCCTTGTGGCCTGAGGACATCTTTTTGGACAGTAACTGTTATCCAACACCTTAGCTCTGAGTCTAGTTTTGTGAGATGTACAAATGTGATACATGCATCATCTTGTGCCTTCATCCTTGGTAATGCCTTCACCCTTGTGCCAGGCCCGTGATAAAAATGCTAAGTGGCATGGTGCTATGCCAACCCCTTTTGTGGCCACCAGTTCTAGGGGGACTCAGGTGTGGCCATCTCCTTCCCACCCCCTAGCTAGCTTTGTTTCAGAAAGAGCTTCACCAGATAAATGAGGGGAAATTCCAACCACGAAAAATAAAATATGGCAAAGTTTGGGAAAGTCTGAGCCTTAGGAGTCTTGTGCCAAGGTAGCTGAAGTCCAGCTTTGATTAAGCTGGAGGGGCTCCTGCCTTGTTCCTTTCCTAGAGCAAGCCTCAGGGAAAGGGATGTATTAAGGAAATGCTTTAATGAAGCCCCTATACACCAGGTACTTTACAGATATTATCTTGTTTGATCTAAAGGGCCTGGGCTGACAGTTCATCTCCCTCCTGGGCCCCAGGCACCATTGACATAAAGACAATTTCCACATTAGAGTCTTGTAACTAGATGAGATCTTGGAGATCACCTAGAACAGGTTTTAACTCAGGGTCTACAAACCATAGATTAAAGAGAGTTTGTAAATTTGGATGGAAAAAAATGACATCTTTATTTTCACTAATCTTTTAACTGAAATGAAGCATTTTCTTCAATTCAGAGTTTTTATTTTTTAAAAAGCATAATTCTGAGAAGAGGTCTGTAGGCTGTAGTAGACTGCCAAAGGATCTATGACAAAAAGGTTAATAGCCTCTGGATGATACCAATTCTCCCATTTTACAGATGGATAAACTAAGACTTAGGGAAGGGATTGTATTTGCTCTTGAGGTCACTAGTAAATCATAGGGACCTGGAGAAGAGCTAAAGCTCAAACCCCCATATTCAAGGAGCTTTCCATTTATAAAACGCTTTCCTCAATTTAATTCAGCAGTCATTTATTAACTGCCTCTTATGTGAAGAAAGTTAAGATCACAATAGTGAATAGATAGTCTTAGAGCTGGAGGACCTGGGTTCAAATTCCTGCCTCTGATACATACTGACTGTGTGACCCTGGGCAAGACATTTAGCCTCCTGTCTCAGTTTCATTATCTGTAAAATGAGGGAGCTGGGCTTGATGGCTTCCAAATCCATTATGCAAGAACTGTGTCTGAGTCCTGTTTCTCACATGCCTGTCTGCATGGCTCTGTATGGCTGTGTGACCTTGTCTGCATGATGGTGTGACCCAAGTCACTTAACCTTCCAGGGGCACTAGACTTATAGACCCTAAGACAAGTTGCTGACTTCCACTGGAAGGCATCTCCTTATCCAAAATCCCCCATTCCAATGAAATCATTGGTTCAGCCCTTATCTTCTATTATGTGCAATGTCCCATGCAACTACTTCATAACAACCTTGAGAGATAAGTGGTTGCAGCCATTATCTCCGTTTTACAGATAAGAAAACTGAAGCACTGAGAGGTAACATTATTTGCTAAGGTCAAAAGATTCATTTAAGTATGATATTGGTCACAAGAAACTCCAAGTTTGGACTCCTTTCTCTTTTTCCTAGCTGCCTCTCACATTGTCTAACAGCTTTCCACTGCATGTCATTTAATTTCCTTCAACTTCCTCATCAGTGAAGTGGAAGTTAGGCAGGAGAGGTAATGGGCTAGCTGATTACTGAGGTTGCGTCTAACTCTGGCATTCTGTGATTCTAGGATCACAAATATTTTAATCTTATTTGTAGTCAGAAAATTGGGTTTAAGTCCTTGATCTTTGATATATTAGTTCTGTGACCTGGGACAAGTCACAGTCTCTCTGGACCCAGGTGTTGTCATCTGTGAAATTTGGGGGTTAGACTAGGTGATCTCTAGTGACTCTTCTAGCACTAAGATTTGATGATTCCATGACAGTGACAGTAGAACAGGGATGTTTTCTTGGGGAAAAGGACCTTTCCTATCCCTCTCCTTGCCTTCAGACCAGGCAGCCCCTCTTCTGGCCAGCACTCCTGAGGTCCCCCTCTCCACTTTTCACAGGGCCCCCTAAACTCCTGGGCATCTTACACACCCTCATCAGTAAGTTTCTTAAGGAGTCTACCCCTCATCCATCCTGTTGTAGCTTCCAATCCAGCCTTCATCCAGTGGTTTTCTCTTCCTACTCCATCCGGGGTCTACTTACCTTGTCCCAGTTTAGGTGGGAAGAGTTTGATGGACCATGTAGAGGCTTCACCCTGGATGTGGTGAGGGTGACAGTAATTTTTTCATTAGGTCTCTTAGTCCTTCGTCCTTCCCTCCCTGCTTTGTCCCAGGCCTTCAGTCATCAGCATCTGTCTGTCTGTCAGAGCAGATGGCTGAAATACTGTCCGTGTGGTAGGTTTCTCTGCAGTGGGATGCAGGGAAGGGAGAAGTGCATTCTGGGAACAGAGATTCTCCTCAGTGCTCTCAACCCTACCCCAAACACAAATACCTACAAGCCCAGTCATACTTCAATTGGGGAGGGAGAAGCCTGAATGTCGGGTACTCTTCTCAGGGGACCCTTTCCTGGGAGAGAGGCAGGAGACAGGAGATCCAGATGTTCAGGCTGGCCTCGGGGGGGGGGGGGTACTGTCTGAGCCTGGAATCCCTCCTTCAAATCTACTGGGTCACAAGATTGGGAGTATGGAACCTGTTGTCCTTTACTTTCTCTGAGGCCAGAGACATAGGTCACAACCGATACTGTGGCAGGAGGGAATAAAGTTAGACACAATTTTAAACTGTCAGTCAGAATGGGTAATTAGGAACCTCTTTTTTGGGGGGTGGGAGCTGGGGAGAAGGATGCTAGTTTTTACTCTCCCTTTCAGAGACACCAAATAAGGTTTTGGGGTTTCCTTCATGAGATCTATAGCAGAATCCTCTTTGAGGATGGTGCCCTGACTGCCTCATGGCGTCAAAGGATTTAGAGCTAAGAAAGACCTTAGAGAGGCATCTAGTGCAGTCCCCTCATTTTACAGATGAGGAAACTGAGACTCAGCTAAGTGAAGTGACTTTGTCCAAAGTCACAGTGATATGTGGCAAAGCTGGGACCTGAACCTAAGCCTCCTCATTCCAAGTCCAGTCTATATTTTTCATCACTACAGGATTTCTTAGCTTGACTCGTTGCTTAAATGCCTCTATTTCTGCCCAGTAGTGCCCTCCACCCCATACATGTGCACTCTCTCTGTCTCTGTCTCCCTCTCATACACACACACAAACACACACACACACACACACACACACACACCCCTTCCTGGGCCCCCAGGAGATCCAGGCAGATTGACTATCCAAACTGAGCTTCTTCAGGGGTAGGAGAGTGGGAGATAGAAGGGAGGATAAGTGTTCTCCACAGACTTACATCTAGCATCTGCCTCTATTTCCCCAGATTTGAAAAGGGAGACAGACACAGCTCCTGCCCTTTAACAGTGTGGGGGGGGGGGGCAGAGAAGCTGGGCTTGATAAGAAGGAAGACTGGAAAGGGGGAATATCATCTTTAGGGTCTCTATGCCCTTAAGGGCTAACTCCTTCCCAGTCCTAGAAGCTTCTCTCTCTTTTTTTCTTTTTTTTTTTTTTTTAGGCAATTGGGGTTAAGTGACTTGCCCAGGGTCACACAGACCTAGAAGCTTCTCTTCATTCCTGCCAACTCTTTCTTGCTCCTCAGGATTGGAAGCCTGCTCCCTCCCCCACCTTGTAGGTCAACGTTTCTGTTGGCATTAATAGTCTGCTCTCCATTCTCTCCCCATTGGGAAAGGGTTGATGAACAGTGACCAAAAGAAGTCCTCAGGAGCATCCTGGCAAATATGTTATTTGGCTATGGATGCCCATTCCGGACACACCACCACAGTTTCCCTTCCTCCTTCACTTCCTCTAGCAGAGCGGAACTTCTCTATCTCCATTTCTCTCCTCCTACGTCTGTCTGTCTGTCTCTCTCGTTTAACTCGGTCTCACTTTCCTTCTCTCACTGGTCTCACCTTAGGTTTGTTTCTTTAACTTTCCTCCTCTGCCTCAGTCTCTCTCCCCTCTCCTTCCTGCCTCTGTCTGTTCATAGAATGTCAGAGTTGGAAAGGACCTCAGTTACATCCATCTAGTTGTATCCCATGACCTAGAACTGAAGCTCTGGGTTTACATAGACTGATTTACTTAATCTTGGGGGTATCATTCACAAACACTCTGTGGCTTTTGCTTCTGGGTGGGGTTTTCCCTAGAAACATCAGTGTTTAGCTCATATTAGCAGAAGAGCCCTCGGCTTCTATGAAAGCACTCAGGCTCACATAACATTAAGTATGGAACTGAAATCAACTATTGAGTTGATATTGACTACAGCACAGGCTTTATTTAACCTGATCAAAAAAATGCAGAGGACTTGTACTCAAGCCCATGAACAGCCAAGGCAACCCTCTTTCCCTTTCGAGTGAATCCCACATCTCCTAGGGACCTATACATCCCTCTAACTTATTACCCTCCCATTGGGGTTCTTGTACAAGGAAAGCTCATTCAGTTGCTAGTACTAAGTGGGAAACAGAACCATCTCCTTTTCCCTGGATCTATATAGTCCACCCAACTCTCAGCTCCCAGTGAAGGATAAAATATGCACTAGCCCCATTAAATTATGGTTCTGTCCATTGCTGCATCTTAGCTTACATCCTCCTTGGTCCAGGAACTCAGTGTTGTCCAAGAATCCCTTCCCCACGCCCGTAATGCTTGCTCCAGGAACGTGTGTCCTCATGCAGACGTGCCTCTCTGGCTCTGTCTCTCATGCCGGCAACTTACAATTAGTCCCAGAGCTCTTCACTACTGTGCTCCTGCCTCCAGGAATCCTAGGAGCCATGGGATCCTCTGATACACATGGTTTCCTGGAGGGCCTTTCTGGCCATGCGGAGGTACAGGCTTCCCTCTAGGAAGCTAGTCTCTGTGTCTGCCCTGTTAGTTTCTCTCTGCTCATCTCAGCGTTGGTCTTTCCCACGTGCAGGTCTTCTGCTCTCCAGCTCTTCTCTTAAAGGTCAAGTCACAGCCAAGGGTATGATTGGCTACATCATACCCTTAATGTGCTGTCAAAGGCAAAGGCACAGAGGTGGCAAATGAATGCTGAATTCAGGGAAGAGCAAACCGACCAGGTGACCCAGAGTGGGTGAATGGAGAGTAATCTGAAATAAGTTTCTCTCTCTCTCTCTCTCTCTTTCTATGGCTCTGATATGTCCTCCCTCCCTTGCTTTCTGTCTGTCTGTCGCTGTCTAGCTCTCTGTCTCTTTCTGTGTCTCTCTCTGTCCTTTTGTGTCTCTATCTTTCTCCTCTCCAGTCTGGCTATCTCTCCCTCAGTTTCATAGGACCTTCAGAAAAGATATGATAGCCTGGATCTCTCAAAGAAGAATACTCCTCCTTCCTATCTTTACTGCTATGCTAGAAACATCTGCTTCACCTTATACTCCATTCATTCATTCAAACATTTCTTGAGTACCTACTGTGTGCACAACCCTGGGTTTAATGCTGAGGAGGAGGCAGAGACATCAACAGGTTCCAGGACCTGACTTCAGGGAGTTCCCAGTCTAGTATTACAGAGACAGGTAACTGTAACACAATGAATCAGAAAGAAAGGGAGCTATTGGCCAGGGTGCCACCTCCTCCAGGTGGCATCTGAAGGGGAGTTTGAAGGAGAGGTTTTATTTTGACTGAGTGGGTGGGGGGATTATTCTGGGTGGAGAAAGACCCATGAGCAAAGACTGCATTATTTTCCATGAAGGTCCCAGAGCAGAGAAAAGTATGGAAAGCGATCCTGGCCCACCCCCTACTCCCTCTCAGCAACATGGGAGTAAGACCTAGTGTCAGAGACTCTCAGAGCAGAAGGGACCTCAGAGGTCACCTCATCCAATCCCTAATGAGATAAGAGCCTCCCTCCCATGTTCTGGGCAAGTGGCCAAGCAGCTTTGGCTCGAAGGTCTCCAGGGATAAGGGAGGGGCTCACCCTCCCTCCACCCCTGAAAAGAGGCCATCCCTTTTCAGGATGGCTCCAAGAGAAAGAAGCCTTTTCCTGACACCATCTTTGAATTTGCTTCTTCCACAAGACAGCCCTTCAAATGCCCTCCCTGAATCATCTTTTCTCCCAGCTAAAACCCCATGTTCCTTCAATTCCTGCCTTTTAAAAAAACCTGATCTCTGATTTCAGAGTGAGCTCCTGGGAAGGAACTTCCTTAATCAATGCAAACCAACATCTTTTCTGCAACCTGGAGTCTCAAGGAGTTGCGTGAGAGCAATGAGAGGTCGAGTGACTTGTACAAGGTCACGTAGACAGTGCAGGGGGCTTCATTGCCCTATATTCAATACTATACCTGGTCTCTATCAGTTCTTTGCATGGGTTGCTCTCCAGTCTTTCACCCATCCTGACGGCTTTGCTCTGGGTAGGCCACAGCTTTTAATGTCCTTCCTTTAATGGACACAATGCTCCATATATGATCTGGCCAAACTCTGTATAGAGTACAATATGGCCCTCATTTTCTGCATCTTGGACAATGCTTATATTATGGAGACACTTGGATCAGTATAGATGGTCCATCTGAGAACAAATGCTGGTTTCTGTAGCTCACATCTTCTAGGCATACGTTGGTGGGTTGGTGGGTGGATGGGGAGGGAGATGTCACTGCCCTGGTCATCTCCTTCCTGACTCTACCCCCAGATTTTTCCTGGAAATGCTCATTGTTATTTCCCCTCCCCCCATCACTTATGCACACCCCAAACATGGCCTGTCCAGCTGGTCCAGCCATCTTTCCTTCTGTTTCTTCATCATACTAGGGGCTCATCAAGAGTAGGATCCTACTTCTCCCCCTAAACTGAAATGTTCTTGTGAATTGGTTCTATCCCCCCTTGATACTAAGGACATGGGCAAGAAGGTGTGGGGGGGAAAACCCTGTGGAGAGACCATTTTCTTTTTTTTTTTCCTTTAGGCAATTGGGGTTAAGTGACTCACCCAGGGTCACACTGCTACTAAGTGTCAAGTATTTGGTCTGAGGCCAGATTTGAACTCAGGTCCTCCTGACTTCAGGGCTGGTGCTGTATCCACTGCACCACCTCGCTGCCCTGAGAGACCATTTTCAATGAGAATAGTAGTGTCAGTAGAAGAATTGGTCAGGCCTAAGGGAAAGAGACTGGTTGAGTGGGTCTGCCTTTTTGGTGCTAACTAATCTCTCCTCTCCTCTTCTCTCCTTCCCACTCCCCTCTCCCTGTCTATCTGTTGTGTGTCTCTCCCACTCTTGCTTTCCTCATCTTTTTTCTTCTCTCTTCCACAGAGGCCTTTTTGGGGTATGATTCTCTGAGCCCAGAGAGGGATCAGGACTGCCTGAGAGCCAGTGAGCATTGTGCCCGGGATGCCGGCTGCAGTGCCCGGCTTCGCACCCTTCGCCAGTGTGTGGCAGGAGATGGTGCAGCCAAGCTGGGGCCTGGTGCCCAAAGTCAATGCCAGAGCACAGTCCAAGCTCTGCTGTCCAGCAGTCTCTATGGCTGCCAATGTCGGCGGGGCATGAAACGGGAGAAGGACTGCCTGGGAGTGTACTGGAGCCTGCGTCATACCCTCCCACAAGGTCAGTGTGGGCCAGTCCCCTGCTTCTATACCTGGAAGGTCAGTGTGGGTCAGTGGGACCTCTGCCTCTGGAGATCCCTGGCCCCACCATCGTTTTCCTCTACTCCTTCCCTGGAGTGGCAGCTATTTATCCTGATCCCACACGTTGCCTACTTCTTGCTCTTAAAATGGGCTCATTCCCTCTCAGGCCATTCCCTACCCCTGCTCGCCTTTCTCCTCCATTCATTCTGGCCAAACACATGAGCACTGCCTTCAGGAAACCTGTTCTCATTAAGCCCCTCCCCTCTTCATTTTCTTCCATACCAAATTCCTTCCCTCTCTTATTTCTCTCTGTCTGCCCAGCCCTATGCTTAGCTACCTTGTAGAAGATTTAGAGATGGAACAGATCCAAGGTTACCCTCAGGGAGCTCACAGTCAGGGGGACAGAGGAGGAGCAGACCCCCCCCCCCCGGCCGTGCCTTCAGGGAACTTGCTTTTGGGAGTGGGGTGGGGAACAGAAGGGGAGAAGATCTGGGACCTGCCTGTTGGAGACCTTACAATCTTGGTCACATGAGAAACAGAATGGAAAACTATATCTGTCCTGGAGATCTGTCTTCAAGAGTTTGAAATGCTGTCACATGGAAGAGGGATTAGAATTGTTTTGCTTTGCCCTGGAAGGCAGAAACAGGAACAATGATAATAACTATCCTTCATATAGCTTTTAATACACTTTATGTTTGATCATTTGAGCCTTCCAACAGCCCTGTGATTGATAAAGTTCTAAAAGTATCATCATCCCTATGTTATAGATGAGGCCACTGAGGCTCAGAAAAGTTAAGTGACTTATCTATGGCCAAACAGCTACTAAGTGTTAGTGGTGGAATTGCAACCCAGGTCTTTCCTGATGCCCAGTCCAGCACTTTATGCCTCTCCAGTGGAGACTGGGAGTTTCAGAAAGGGAGATTTTGTCTCCATGTAAAGACAAACATTTTGAAAATGAGAGCTATCCAACGTATTGTCTTAGGAAGTAGTAAGTTTCCTGTCTCTTGAGCTCTCCAAGCAGAGACGAGTAACCACTTGTAAGGGATGTTGTTATAATTAGACTAGATGCCTGCTGAGGTCCATGCCTGCTTGAGGACTCTTCCATTCTGGGAGCTAGTGACTCTGAAGGTAGTATTCTTTACATTACACTTTGAGGTGAGACATCCCAGTAGAGATGGATGGTCTAGAGAGAAGAGGGATGATGAATGAGCCTTGAGGGGTACCCACATTTAGGAAGTGGGAAGAAGAAGATGAACCAGTAAAGAAAACAAAGAAGGATGTAGGAAGTCATTGCCTTAGGAAGAAAATAAAGATAAGACCTTCTGCCCACATCTCAGAAATGAAAGGAGTGAGCATCTAGGAATAGAGTTGTCAATAATTGCCACATGCTGCAGTGAGGTCAAGGATGAGGACTGAGAAGAGCCTATTGGATTGATACACCTTCCTTTCAACACATTCAGGAATGTATTGGGATTGAATGTTCTCCTGCTAAGTCCATAGGTGTCCAGACTCCAGGGTGGGGTGCGGGGAATCAGAGCTCTGATAAAGGTGAAGGATAATGGCAACAGGAGGACAGAATTGGGTGGGGGGAGGCAAGACACACTATAGCCTCAGAAGTTCAGAAATCTCTCTTTCCTCATCTCTCTATCTCTCTTCCCTCCTTCCCACCATGAATCCAAGAAATGATGCTAGAAAGCTCCCCCTATGAGCCTTTCATTAGAGGCCTTGACTACGTTGGATTGGCAGCTATTACAGCAGGTATGTACCCCACCAAAGCCCTTAACCATGCCTGAGAACCTAAAAACCTCCAGTCTCCTCCATTTGGAATCAGCCTCCCTTCACAGATCCCCCCCCCCCCCCCAACAACTTTCTCCAGGGCTACCAAGTTCCAGGCAGCACCAAGCTTTCCTCAGGCCACTGATGAGGGAACTCTTCTGTCCTGGAAGGCCAAACACCCTTGTTCCTCCTATCCTGGTCTTTTGCCAGGGGCCTGGGGCACTTCAGGCAGTCAAAGTTACATGAGGGAACCCTGAGTTCCAATTTGGCCTCAGACACTTACTGGATGTGTGACCTTTAAAGTGTGCAAATCCTTTAACCTTTATCTGCTTCAGTAAAATGGGGATAATAACAGCACTTACTTCTTAAGGTTGTTATGAGAATCCAATGGGATAATATTTGTAAAACGCTTAGCATAGTGCTTAGCACAGATAGGTGATATATAAAAATGCTTCTTCCCTCCTCTCATCACTGCTCTGCGATCTCTTCACAGTGATGGAGCCAGGGAGAGCCAGGTAGAACCAGGGTTGGGGAAAGACAGTCTGCTTGGGGGATTTTTCTCTTTGTATTATTCATTAAAAAGAATCTGTCTTTTGGATTTTCTAGCCTAGTTCTTAGCCTCTTTTGGTGCCACAGGTCCCTTTATCAGTCTGGTGAAGCTTAGGGACCCCTTTCTGGAATGATGCTTTTAAGTGCATAAAATACATAGGATTACAAAGGAAAGCAAGCATATTGAAATACTGTAATTAAAATGTTTTTTTAAACACCAGGTTAATGAATCTCAAGTTAAGAAACCCTGATCTAAGAGTTGGGATATATGTTTGGCTATCCACTTTTGGGGGAATAATGTGTCTTTCACATGAGCTCGTTACCTGACTTGTGCGTGATTTGCCTTACTGGCAGCCGCGACAACCCGCTGTCGGAGTTGTTCACCACATTTTAGCCATCCTGGGTATTCTTCCCTGTTCCAAACGTTAGTCGTTTGAAAATGTTATTCCTCTCCAGCTCCACTCCCGGCCCACACTAGTAGGACGAAGCCTGCTGCCCTGGAGCAAGAGGCCCCGGGGCCGGCTTTTCGGGAGAGGGGCGAGGGCGGATTATAAAGCTGGCCTCGCTCTGTCCCCACCTTTCCCCCCAGGGTCCGAGGGCGAGAGCCTGTCCCCGCGAGGCAACCGCTGCCTGGACGCGGCCAAGGCTTGCAACGTGAACGGGCTGTGCCAGCGGCTGCGCGCGGACTACGCGGCCCTATGCCTGAGGGCCGGGACCCGCGGCTGCCCCCGCCCCCGCCGCCACCGGGCCCTGCGCCGCTTCTTCGACCGGGTCCGGCCAGCGCTCAGCCACGCGCTGCTCTTCTGCCCCTGCGGGCCCGGGGACGCGGCATGCGCCGAGCGCCGCAGGCAGACCATCGTCCCTGCGTGCTCCTACGGCCCCGGCCCCAGCCCCGGGCCTCGCACCGCCCCCGCCGCCGCTGTCCAGCCCAACTGCCTGGCGCCGCTGGACGCCTGCCGCCGGGGCTACGTGTGCAGGTGAGCCGGGGCGGGCGAGGGCAGAGAGAACACGGCGCGGCCCCAGTGAGGTCCGCGGAGCGCGGCCAGCACAGAGCCCAACGCTGTCCTCCGCCCCCACCAGATCCCGTTTGGCCGAGTTCCAAGCAGCCTGCCAGCCATCCCTGCTCACCCCCAGTGGATGCATCCACGAGGATTCCCTCAGCTGCCTATGGGCCTACACTGGCATTCTGGGTATGAGCTGGCAGTGTCTACACAGGCATCCTGGATCTAGGGAGGGAGATTAATTTACATGGGTGACCTGGGTACAAGAAGGAGGTGGCATCTACAGCAGCCTCCAGGATAAAGGGAGGGTAGAATACCCTTAGAGAGCCTTGTTGGGGGTGAGGATGGCTAGGGAGCAGAGTGCTTCCGCTGACTCCATAGGTTTGGGAGTTCTGACTGCATCTCCACAGCCTTCTTGTTGTATATGGGAACTGAGTATCTATGAGGGCAGGCTAGGTAAAGGATATGTGATTACCTAGGCTCTGTGCATAACACCATCTCCAGAGGCCTGCTGGATATGAGGAGGGGAGGATGTCTACACAGCAAAATGGTTATTGGAAAGGGGGAATTTACATGGGTGTCCTGAACACAAGTGGGTGTCCATCCTAAGCATGGGGATGAGTGCATTCTATTGAGTGGCCTGGGAGGGTCCTCCCTGAATAAGCATCCTGGGGGTTAAAAGGATGGGGACACTGGGCATCTACAGAGTTTTTATGTGTTTGAGGATGCTTATGGGTGACCACTGAAGATGCAGGGGGAGAGTATCTATTCAGGCATCCTGGATATAGAGAGTGGGGCACCTACAGGGTCATCCTGGGTGTGAGGAAGAGGTGTCTTAGGTGTAAGGAAAAGCAGCTGTCTTGGGCCTTTTTTTTTCCCTTTGCAGGGACCCCCATCACACCCAACTATGTGGACAATGTAAGCACTGCTGTGGCACCTTGGTGTAGCTGCAGCTCCAGTGGGAACAGGCTTGAAGAATGTGAGACCTTCTTGGGGCTGTTTGTGGGGAACCCTTGTCTTCGTAAGTGTTTGGAGCCTAGAGGTGGGGGCTGGGGGATGGAACAGAAGCAGAGGAGACAAAAGAGACTGGGGATGATGGGGGACAGAACAGAAGGCAGATGGGGAAGAAGCTGGTTTAGATCCTGCCCATCTTCTTTCTCACTAGAAAATGCTATCCTGGCTTTTGGCAACCAGACAGCCCTAAGCTGGGGCCCCTCTGTTTTTCCACCTGGAACATACCTGCAGAAATCCCCTGGTCCTGGGCAAAGCCTCTTCAACCAACTGAAGCCCACCCAACCCACCCAGGTATGAATTTTCTCTCCAGGCCTCAAGCACCCCCAGACTGAGCTCCTCTCCCTCTTCAAAGAATTACCTTGTTCCCAAGCAGCCTGAAACCCTCAAATTGCAGCCCACCCCAAACCAGAGCTGACCTTTTACTTGGGAAGCCTCAACTCCTTCTGTATAGGGAAGTAGCTTTCCCAAACACACATCCAACCTTTGTGAGGAGAGAACGCGTGCGCGCGCGCACACACACACACACACACACACACACACAAGCTTCTCATATTATCCTCCTTTTGATTTATTTCAACCAAAACTTGTTAACCATTCACTATTTGCAAGGCTCTGTGCTCCTCCTGGGGTCACAAACATGCAAATGACAGTGTCCCTGCCCTGAAGAGCTTACAATCTAATAGGCAGCACATGACATGCAGATAAATGTAATACAAGGGAGACGGTGATGGAAAATACGAGCCCTTCCTTAATCTGCCCCTCCCCCCCACGCCCTCATCTGTCTTTTCAGATCAATCTCAAGTTAGTTCTACTTACACACATTATATCCTAGCCTGACTAGTTCTGACTTCTTTTTTTTTAAATTAATTTATTTTTAGTTTTCAACAATAATTTCTATAAGCTTTTGAGTTTTGCATTTTCTCCCCCTCCCTCCTAACCTCCCTCCCCAAGATGGCGTGCAATCCGACATAGGCTTTACATCTACATTCCTATTGAACACATTTTCTTATTAGTAATGCTGTAAAGAAGAATTAGTGGTTCTAACTTCGTATCCTCTTACCCCCATCATACCTATCTCCGGCATCCAAGACCCTGGACAGATCTGGAATTCATTGCCTCATTCTCCTCTTTTTTTTTTTTTTTTTGGCTAGGCAATGGGGTTAAGTGACTTGCCCGGGGTCACACAGCCAGTTAACTGTTATGTGTCCGAGGCCAGATTTAAACTCAAGTCCTCCTGACTCCAGGGCCGGTGCTCTATCCACTGCACCACCTAGCTGCCCCTCATTGCCTCATTCTCAAAGCTCATTTTGTCCACCACTTTCTATGGGAAGGCTTTTCTGCTCCCAGAACTGTTAGTGCTTCCTCCTCAAATGACCTGGTTTTTACGTAACTGTATCCATGTCATACCTTCTTCTCCAGAGTGTAAACACTTTGAGGATAAGACCTGTTTTTTGTTTTTGTCTTTGCAACCCCAGGGGCTTGCCCATGGTAGACACTTAACAAGTGTTTGATTGAACTTCTCTCTTCCTTGTAGGTATCAGGCGAAGGCAGGCCTTCCACTGGGTGTTCTCCAAGGCTTTGGGGGGCTCAAGGCTTGACCCTCCCTAGGGATCAACTGCTTTTTACAGCCCTGGCTCTCTGGTTCCTGCCTTGACTAGGACAGCAGGCAGAAGACAGAATGAGTGATCCTGTTTGTATCCATTCTTTTCCAGTGGGGTGGTAACAGTGGGAATCTGAATCAAAGAGAAGTAGGGACCTAGGGGGTCACCCTTGAGCTGGTCACAACTCTCCCTAACCTCAGACCCCTGCTGGTCTGTGACCTTTGCAGCCATTATCTCTTGATCTAGTACAGAGATGAAGGACTGGGGGACTATGGGGAATGACTCAGAGAGCAGAGTCCCATCCTAGAGACTACTGGACCTGAAATGCTCCAAAACACTTGCCTCCTAGCCTGGGGGCTGGCCTTGAACCTTGGGATCTGAGCTCTAAGGTATCTAGAAAATTTAAGACACTTTGAGGACAGGGACTGGCATAGAGTACTTGATACACTGCTCATCAATTGATAGGTTGGTGGGATTTTAGAAATGGAAGGAACTTTGGAGATCATAGAATCCAACTTTTTCACTGATGGAAGAAATTATGACCTCTGGCTTTGGTATAATGCAAAGAGCTGTGGACAGTCAGGAGACCTAGGCTAAGTATCAGCCTTACCTTTCATTAGCTGTGTGATCTTGGGCAAGTCATCTTGGCCTCAATTTCCTCATCTTTAAAATGGAGATAACTTTACATGACATCCAAGGCCTGCACTCAGCTCTATAGTCCTCTGATCGAATAACAATTCCCACTTCACAGGACTGTTGGGAGGAAAGTACTTTGTAAACATTAAAGCCCTATAGAAAACACAGCTATTTTGATCCTATTGGGAGTAGAGTGGTGGGACAGCATGCTGGTATACGGCATCAAGAGGCAATTGCACAAATAGAGGACTGGGGATGCAGGTCTAGACAATAGTGACCCTGAAAAAAGACCCTGGGGTTTTAGTAGAGTCACTGCAAGTCAGCCGTGTGACATGGCAGACAAAAAAAACGCTACTTCCATCCTAGCTGCATTAAGGGGGCACACAGCCTCCAGAACAAAGGTGGGGGTGGCCCCACTGGGCTCAGCCCTGATGGCATCCCTCTACCCCTATCTGGAGGAGGGTATTGGATTCTGGGCACAACATGTTAAGAAAGACATTGATGAGCTAGAAGATGTGTAAAGGAGGGTGACCAGGACTGACTTGGAAAAGGGATTCCATTTATTCTGCTTGTTTTCAGAAGGTAGAATTAGGAGAGGGGGGCAGGGGAAAAGGGGAGGCAGATTTCAGCAGGAAAAATGAATTATCCTGGCCACTAAAAAAAGGAAAGGGCTACTGTAATAGCTATAATATTGTAAAAGGTGTTCTTTATCACTGCACAATTTTAAAGCATAGGCCAGATGACCACCTGTGTGGGGTGTTTTAGAAAAGACCTCTGTTTAGGGACCGGTTGTACTAGAGATCCCTGAGGTCTCTTCCAAGTGGGAGAGGTGGTGACTGATTGGGTGAGGAGGAGCCGCCTGCCTCCTTTCCAAGGCAACTTCTGTGAAGGGTGTGGGATGGAGAGGAAAGGGAAAGCAGAGGGCTGAAAGGTGGGGCAGGGAAGAAGTATGGGCACTAATACAGTGAAGGGGGTTGGAATGTAGTAGAGGACTTGTCATTTTTTAATTTGTTCTAGGAGTTTATTTTTTGGGGGGTTATTTTTAATTTTTATTATTTTTAAAGCACCAGGACTTTTTTGTTCTTTGCTTTTAAGTTTCAAATTTGGGGACTATTTTCTTTAAATAAGGAAAATAAACAAAAACCTTAGCACTTAATAAGGTAGAATCAAATTAATTGAGACAACAAACGATAGATTCAATGCTGGTCCACCTGACGTAGATTTCATTTCATTTCATTAGTGCTTTAATGTGCTTTCCTCAGAACAGCCACATCATATGATCAGTGCCATGGTTATTATCCCCATTCACTGATGGGGCAATTGAGACCCAGGGAAGGGTAGTGATTTGCTCTGTGACCAAGTGAGTCATGGCAGGAACCAGGACTCATCTTTACTCTTTCTACCATATTGGGCTATCCCTTTAAGGCTTGGACCTTTCTTCATCTCTCTCACACTCTCCAGCCCCCTTCTGAATGATCACACATGGGCACCGAAACTCACCTGCCCGAAGGCAGGATTCCTTGAGCATTGGTGGCAATTCCTTGTACATGGGGGACTTCTAAGTTCACTTACCCATGTTCTCTGTCTCTCTGTCTCTTTTCCTCAGTCTCTGTTTATTTTTCTCTGTCTCTCCCCCTTCCACACACATAGTGCTTCTTATTCCAGGTGGGGGGAGGCAGTCATGCTACCGAGGGCAGCCTTGGGGAAATAGTTAAGAGCGAACTTTTGTCTTGTGTTTATTATGTGCCAGGCACTGTGCTAAGTGCTTGTACTCATAATCTCATCTGATTATCACAACAACCCTGGGAGGTAGGTGCTATTTTTACCCTCATTTCACTAATGAGGAAAGTGAGGCAAACAAAAGTTAAATGACTTGCCCAGAGTCACACAGCTAGTAAGTGTTTGAGGCAGGATTTGAATTCAGGTGTTCCTGACTCCAGACCTGGCACTTTATCCACTGCACCACCTAGCTGCCCACACAATCTGATAGTCTCAGGACAGTAGGTGAGGGAGAAGACGGAATCATAGGATTTGGAACTGGAAGTGCCCTTAGACCCTTCCTTATTTTACGGATGCAGAAACTAAGGTTTCAAGAGAGTAATTCAGTTCACCAACCATTTATTAAGCACCTACTATGTGTAAGGCACATGCAAGATGCTGGGAACACCAAAACAAAATTGAAACAGTCCCTGCCCTAGAGCTTAATTCTGCTGGGGGGTTACAACATATACACCAATAAATAAGCATTGCACAGTAGCTGTGAAAGAGTACAAAGTAATTTCAAGAGGGAGAGAATATTAGCGATGGAGGGAATCAGGAGAGACCTGGAGGAGGTGGTCCTTCTGTGGTGCTTTGGAGGAAACTAGAGATTCTCTGGGCCAGAGGTGAGGAGGGTATACCTTCCAGACTAGGTTGAAGGTAGGCAGGACATGGAGGGTCATGTGCAGGAAGCAGTTTAATTGGGACCCAAATTTTTAGGAGGATAATAAGAAATAAGGCTAGAAAGTAAATTGGAGTCATATTGGGGAGAACTTTAAATACCAGGCAGAGGAATTTGCATTTTATCCTGGCAGTTAACAGGGAGCCATTTAGGGTTTTGGGGTAGGTAGTTAATGGGGTCTGACCAGACCTTTAGGAATATAAGAGACCACTTAGCAGCTGTGTGGAGGGGAGGAGACCAAGAGGGAGGTTAGATCCTGAGTTCTGAAGGGGACTTGACCAGGATCACCCCGAGTTTGCTAAGGGCTTTATAGAAACCCTGCTATGGAATACCTCCTACCAACATTTAACAACATCCTCACTTTACAGAGGAAGAAACTGAGGCTCATAACTGGAGCTAATATGCCCCCAGTTACTTGAAGAGTCAAAGACTTCTGACTCCAAATTCAGTGTTCTATGCACTGAACCACACTGCCTTTAGCAAGGAGCTGAGGCACAGGCTCTATCTGTGTGTATCTCTCCATCCGCCCTTAATAAAGTGTTTGTGAATTTCTGCAGGTGTATATGTGTGTTTGTGTGGGTGTTTGTGTACAATGACAGACAGACAGAGAGAGACAGAGAGAGAGAAGGGGAGGGGACATCAACAAACCTGAGTACAAAGTTTAGACAGTCCCTGCTCTCACAGAGCTCACAGTCTAGTAGTGAGAAAAACAAAAACAACTATATGATATACAATGTCACATATATGTATTTGAGAAGAGCAAACAAAAGATTGGCTCTGTGGACAGAGCACTGGTCCTGGAATCAGGGAGACCTGAGTTCAAATAAGGCCTCAGACACATTACTAGCTATGGACAAGTCACTTAACCCTGTTTGCCTCAGTTTCCTCATCTGTCAAATGAACTGGAAAAGAAATGGCAAACCATTCCAGTGCCAAGAAAACGCCAAATGAGCTCACAAAGAGTTTGACCAACTGAAACAACTGAACAACAACAAGAAAAGTCACCTAATAAATGTGAAGTTTTAAAAAAAGATGAAGATGACAGTCTTAATGAGGAACCAGAGGAGACTTCCTGTAGGAAAAAGCATTTGAAATCCTTAAAAGATAGGTACAGGGGGCAGCTAGGTGGCACAGTGGATAGAGCACCGGCCCTGAAGTCAGGAGGACCTGAGTTCAAATCCGGCCTCAGACCAAACACTTGGCACTTACTAGCTGTGTGACCCTGGGCAAGTCACTTAACCCCAACTGCCAGAAAAAAAAAAAAGGATAGGTACAAGAGGGGACAGACACAGGAGAGAAGATAGCATGTTCCAGGCACAAGCTGTAGCCTGGGCACCAATGTGGGAGGGGACAGGGACTGACCACGGAGCAGAGAATACTCCAGTTTGACTGGGGCTTACAATGCATCAAGAGGGGTAATATGAGGGAAAGATGCCAGCAGCAACCAAAAACTCGAAGAGGCGCTAACGATGAGGGGCCTAGGTTCTGGATAAGGTGAGAGGGAATGCCTTCTACTCACTAAGACAAGCTCTCCTATGACTGGACGGAGAGAGATGGCGGCGGGTGATGATGCTGAGACTGAAGGAGCTCCCATCAGCTCTGTCTGCTCAGCGAAGAAGCAGGCTCTGTGTGTTTGACCTCAGGGTGGGGAAGGGATGAGACAAGAGAAGGTTGGATAGACCCAACGACACACATCGGCTGCTGGTTACTGCCAATGAAGGAACCGTCGGCTAGGAGCAGGGTTGGGTCTCCGTGGACTGTGAGCAGTCACCCTTATCCCTTGCTGTCCCCTCCCTGTCCCTCTCTCACCTGACCCAGATTTACTTCAACGGTGGGTCAACTCTGGCTAGTTACCACCAAGCTGGGATTGGGCAAAACCTCTGTGGCCAGACTGGATCAAGCCCAGGACCTCAGACACAATACTGAACTTCTTGCTAACAGGACCCCATCTATTAAAGGTCTCATCTTGGTCAGGAG